GTGCCCTGGATGTGCATCCCACAAATCTCCATCAACTGCAAGATGCTATCCTATCAATATGGGCCAACATTTCTAAAGAATGCTTTCAGCATCTTGTTGAATCAATGCCATGTAGAATTAAGGCAGTTCTGAAGGTGAAAGGGGGTCAAACACTGTATTAGTATGGTGTTCCTAATAATACTTTAGGTGAGTGTACAGTATGTGCCATGTGATTTCCAGAATTTCCCCAAGCTTTGTGTTCTATTTTGCCTGAGATAAGCAGTTGGAAGATAGATGGATGGAAATTGCCCATATCTTCAGGCAGCAAGACACACTGAGAGATCTTGAGCTGCTCTTCCAACAGGATTGGTTACGTTGAATAAATATTTCCCAAATGATACACTATGCTGACCCTGACACAGGGATATAGGAATTTATGAAGTGGAGCAAATTGAAAACAATGCTGCAGGTGTTGCTTACAGACAGAGGACTACAGAGGGACAATATCAAGTTGTATAACTTGCTGTTTGTATTCATCTCAGATCACAATTCAATGCCAGAGCCATTCGAATTCATATACCTGATTCTCTGAAAAGGATAAAACCATACTGGAGAGGAACCATGGGGGAAATAGGAGGCCAAATGTTGTTTTTATGCGATACTTCATATCATCAGTCCATCTTCCATACTCCTTATCTAGTACAGGGACATGGTGTTTTTGTACCTATGCTGGGAAACAGGAGGCACAAGGTAGCACTCACCGTGGATCAACTGCCAGTTAATTATAGGGCAGGTACACACACTCTCTCTCTCTCTCTCTCTCTCACACACACACACACACATGGTTTGTAGTTATACCTTTGTGGGGACTGTCCATTCATTTCTATGGGGAAAACTTTAATCCCATCATGACGACCTTAACCCCTACCCAGCCCTAACCTTAACCATTAGTAACCAAACAAAATACAAGACTTCTGGCATTTTTACTGTTTTGATTGCATTTGCAGATCTTTGTGAGGACCTGGAAAATGGCCCCCACAACATCAAAATACCGTTGTGGGGGCCATTGAATATACATAATCCACACACACACACAATAAATAATTTTTAAAGGTGCACAAGCTTGTAATTGAATGGTTATACCCGTGTGCAGTTTCCATATAACAGTATAGATTCACTCAGAACCGCTGCCCCCTGTTACTTTTACAGATTAATTTTATATAGACCGATTAAGATTCAGCCCTTTTTGTTCAAGTAAAGTTTTCAGTGAGAAAACAGTATCAGACACATTTATGGTGCATATATTTATGTTTATTGTTTCTTAAATTCTGTGCAATAAACCAATAAAAATAACTACATAAAAGTAACACATATTAAATAAACAAAAAATCAATATTTTTCTCAGCCATGCTACCCGGATGCTCTATTGTATTTCTAATAATTACAGACATTTAACAACACTACTTTTCAACAATAATACCAAGCAAAAATATTTTTAAAATGTATAGATATGTGTAATTCTGGACGACTCACATCTGTTCCAATAAATCCGTGTGAAAACTAAACTGCCTGGAAAACTACAGAATACTGTTCTGGAGCCCATGAATACAGAATATTGTGAGTCCATGAAACCCATAATTTAATTACATGTGGTAACAGTTTTTTGTCAACATGGGCCATGGACCTTCTTCCATCTTTTCAAATTCACTTCATTATTTTTTTAATTATCGAAAGAAAAATTTGTGTCACCCAGTTGGGATATGATGCACAGTAATTAAAACAGCTCACATATAATGTAAAGTGTGAACTATTTACATTGCTGGGCTACTTTTCTTTTCTCCCCATCAAGTCTAAAACCAGTTAGTTACAAAACTAATAGTACTTTGATAGGAAAGTCTCAATATTTCCATGTAATTACCAAACTAGAACAATACAAACCTTCCACCCTGACAGATAAAGATCAATGTCTAATCAAGACTGAGCAGTAAATAACAAAAATCACACACATAACAGTCTGTGAAAAAATATGCATGGATATTTGCACATTATTGCAAATACTTTCATTACTCTTTTCATACTATTGTGCCTTCTAAATCATTATGGTATTTACATATTTTAGAACTGAAATAGCTTTGTTGTATTAAGTAGCCATATCTTGGAACTAAAGGAACATAAAGTATTTTGTGTTTTATTCCATCAGGCTGTTTAACTAAAAACCATCCATCTCCAAACTGTGCATGGTTGAGGGGGTCATTTATAAATGGAGCCAACAGGGCTGTTCGCCCCCCCCACCCCGAGTCTGGGGCCAAGTTTGCTGATTCTAGGGATGTATTCCATGTACCTGAACATAACGAGTATAATTCCAATCATTTGGCAGTTATACTCTCAGTAACACATTAACTATGACGGACAATAAAATTAAAGGTATTAGATGCTACTTAGACTGATATGCTGGATATTAAAACAAACATTAAGACCACCTGGTTCTAACAGTACATTTTCATATTCTTTAATTATTCAAAAGGTATTTAATGCAATGTATATACAAATGCAGTGTATATGTGTGATGAATATATGTATACTGTGTTATTGGTCAGTCATTATGTCCACTGAGATTAAATGCCATTAACAGAGAATGTATACAATACTGCTGCAGACAGACTAGTAGACAAATCTTCATTGTAATCTGGATCTTATCCAATGCATAAATTAATGAATAATTGATCCTACTTATGGACAAATAATCAATTTTGAGAGGAACTCTGAATGGCCCTTCACTTTACTTTAAAATGAACATTGGAGATGTCATCACACAAGTGCAATTTTGCCGCAAATCTTTCTGAAATAAGGCAATGTTAATGAAGGATGACATAAACTTGCCAATGTAAACGTAAAACATAAAGTTACTGTCCCTGAATCTTGTTACTTTTGACAAAATTATTCTCCTATCTACTGGATGTCCAAGAAAAATTTTATTTAATATGATGCGCCAAGTCTATTGATCTTGGGAACAGTAATGCAAGGCTATTTTCATGTAGCAGAAGCACTATACTTAAATCCATAGTTTAATTTTCTATGAATTATTGAGAGCTGGCCCAACATGCCTGCTCTGATTTGTAATGGCATTAGATCATGCAGGTCCAGTAAGGTCCTGAATAAGTTAATTGCATCATTAATATTTATTAAGTGTTTAAATTTCTGAACTGCTTTGGCGCAGCATGTGTACGTATTAAATAAAATTTTAAAGAAATTTAAATAATTTAAATTGGGGTTTATCTTATGTGTGTAAGGGAATTTAAGCTAGGGTCAGCCTTTAATAACGTGTCACATATACTTCCCTAGAATAAATTTGTTTGCCAGTTAACATGCATTCCAGAAAATAGTTATGGGATAATTAATAAAGGATATTGTTAAATTACAAAATCCACTACCCAGTGAAGAATGTTAGTCTACACATACCCAAAAACAATACGATTGCTTGTAGTGAAACGATTAGATGACTATAGAGTTGAATATCAGCGTGTATAATGTATGCATTAAAAAAGGCCTATTTCCAGCAGATAGATTGAATTCAATATAACTTGAAAAGGTACATTCAGAACCTGAACTGAATTACTTCATTTCACATACAAGACATTTCCAAATACAAATGGAGATGCAGGCCACTTCTGTATGGAGATACGGAAAGGTAGATTACTATTCTACAGAAAAGTCTTGTGAAGTCTCCATTACTGAAGGCTGAATGGATGTGTGACCCAAACAGGTCCTTTCTGCATAATCTGACTGAACACAGATAGGATGCATCATTAATTCCCTGTGCAGATGGTTATGTCAGTATTATATTAAAAACTAAGAATGACCATGTTCATATATGTTAACCCCACTGGTCCTGAAACTAACCCTGTAGCTTAACCACATCATACAGTAGAAATATCAAGAACAATAGGGTTATGATCATATAAATTTCCCATGCAATAAGAAAAAATCCATAAATCCATAAATCCATATTACAGCCACAAAACAAGCATCTAACGCAGGCCATTTCCATCATAATTTTCTTTTTTTTCTTCGTTTTATTGTTAGAAATGATATGAATGGATTCGGTACTGATGTACAGATTCAGTAGTCCTATGAACCTTGGTTCTGCTCATACAGTTCACATGGTTCTCCGCTAATCTGTATACCGATTTCCAGTTCATTATCAAGGTTTTCTTTTGATGCCAGATACCAATTTCACCACAAGTTCCTCATGTGGTTGAATTTGTTTTCAAAACTGGTATATCTGACCTTTTAGCAACAGTCCCTTTAACACATCTTTGTTTTTTTTTTTTTGCAAACAGATATTTTCTGGGTTACTTCATTATGGCAGTCATCCACTATGAGCTTCAGGTGCCATCGTGTTTGACGTCTGCTCTTACAGCTCTTCGGAACGGATGACGTGGTACAGAGTGACGTTATATAGTACCTGATGGCCATTGTTCCATGCATACAGGGCCCTGTCCCTGGGGTTGTAGTCCAGCATTGAGATGTGGGAGTATTTGTTCTGTAAAGCTATGTCGATATACTCATAGGTGGAGGAGTTTGTATTGAAGGCATAGTAGACTTTGGTCCCCCCGGCATATCCATTGGTGACGTACAGTGTCCCACAGATCATGAAGGCCTCACCAGCGCTCCTTTTTGGGTGATCAGTGCTCCAGCTTTTAATAATCTGTAGCGTGTTGGGGTTCAGCTTGCTGATGACGATGTTCCCAGCATTCTGATTGGTGGCATACACGGCCCACAAGCCTCCCTCATCCACCATTAAGTCGATATCTGAGTGGCCGCCCCATGCATAGTGGTACATGTTATTGAAACCGGCATATTCCAGGGGGCGGGACTTGCTCATCATGGAGGTCTTGAAGTCGAACTTGATAATGATATGACTTTGGAACTTGTTGAAGTAGATGGAGCCATTGTAGACCACCTGGCCTGTACCAGACCAAGGGTGAGGGAGGCGGTGGGAGGTGAAATTATCGCCGGTCATAAAATCTTGAAAGGACCTGTATTCCCGCACAAAGCGGTTGTTGTGGTAGCCGTCCATGTACCACACCTAGTGAAGAAAAACAAGGAATGACAGCTTAACAAGTCACTCAGAAACGTTTCAGAAGCTTTGTACTAAAAAACTAAATGACTTTGCAGAAGAACTCAGTCTTTGTGTGATGACCTTCTCTTGTTTTTTGTCACGTAGCCCAGTGTCACTCTGCATATAAGCCTTGGACAGTCTGCTGCTCTCAGATAAGGATAATGGAATTCAAGGAGAAGTAATTATTACTTTTTATAAATCTTGAACCCTAATTAAGCTAAAACTTTTTTGAAAATAGATTTTCAAATGTTAAAGCAGGCTATCTATGACTAAGTCGCATGAACTGCAATGTTAGTGTGAAATCGGATCTTCTTACAACTTGAGACAGTTCTGAAAGAATAATCGTTTTTGCTGAATATTAAATGTCACACTACAGATTCCTGTCCGAATAAATCCCACGCTTTTTAAATGCACATTGCATGTACGTACTTATATACACAATGCACACCTAGCTCAGTGATCTAACCATCCTGCTATGTTGCTCCTGCTGAATGTAAAACAGTAGCGCATGAAGATGTGAAATATTTATAGACTCTTGTGCACAAAATATCTGCAATACATGACTGCAAAAAAACACAGGCTCAGTTTAAATATCTGTAACTAATGACATTGCATGCGCACTTTCCGGTACGTTTGCGGTCCACATTTACCCTGGTATCTCCCTCAGGCGCCAAGGGGTCAGTCATCCAGGAACCGAACCTCGATCCAGATGTTTTAATTGTGATAGGTTCGCTTATTCCTGTTAACTTCCCACAAGCTGCAAGGGTGAACACATAGTTACACATTCCCCACCCATACAAACTGCTTGAAACAAACAAACAAACAAAAAAGAAACATGCACAGTGTTGTCGATTGTATCATTTCAGTTAGCAAATTCAATAAACGTATATATGTATTAAATTGTATATGTAACTGTATATATGTATGAAAGTTTCACTTTGAGCATAATACAGTGTTTTGTGTAGGTACATTACAGTGCTCTATGGGTTCTGGTTGTGAGTGTCCTGGCCCTGAATTCTCCCCCCGTCCCCATCCGCCCCCGCACATCCGCTCTTCATCGCCCCTCACGCTATTAGCTGTGTCCCTATGCATGCTTTTAGCAGACTTTAATGTCTGTGTGTAGCTGCAGTCTCTTGTAGCACCACACATTTTCCCCACATTGCTGGTGACTGCCTGCTGAATTTATACTCGCATATAGTTCACCTCCAGCCAAAATGTAACACATAATAACAACGTGTAATTGCATGCATGCCCTGAAAATACAGCTCTTTCATGCAGAAAATGGCATGGATTTCTGTGTGCTTTCTGTTCTGCTAATGATGTGCGATTCCTCTCATTTATTCATCTCTGCTGTCCTGCTGTATTGCCCTTCTGTGAACCATTTACCGTGTTCGTCTCGCCAATACAGACAATCCCCAGTTCCGACATGAATTGCTCCCTAATCTCCATATGCCTGGAGCAGGGAATTCAATTTCATCCACAATGCTCTGCGGACTGTCACATGCTCAGCAAACAGAACCCCACAGACCATCCTTCAGGGATCAGTACAGTGCTTATAAAATGCGATTATATACTAGAGTCGAGAAGTGTAAATTAAATCAGCAATTCTCTGACTGTTTCCCCTTTACTGGGGTGTTTTCGTCCTATTTTTTGAGTGCCTCATTATAAAGAAAAGCAAATAAAGGTCTTAATTTCGTCAGTCCATCTTGCAATCATTTCCCCTGGACAAGCTATTAATTTTCTTTTCAAATTTTGAGTTCCTTAAAATACTTCAATGATGTTTAATTATACTAACTTTAAAAGAAGGCTCTAATACTGTATTATTGTACTGTACTGTACTTTGTTATCTAGCAGTTGTTTGGTTATTTGTTTACTTATTGATAGGTCCACAGTAAATGCCTGTTGTTATTATACATTAATTAGGCTCATTAGGTTATTCTACAACAAAAATGCCCTGTGAATTTTTGTTTTAAGGAGATATTTTTCTCTTTTTTTTGGCTGTCGTGGAGATACGTTGTATTCCTTTAAAAAAATATGTTATATATGGTAGGTTACTGTAATATGTTATAACTTATTTTAATGATAACATTTATGTCAATCCTTATCGATTTATAAAAATCTTTTGTATAGTCCTTGGCATTGCTTTTCATGTCTCTCATTGTTCTGTTATTCCGCCTCTTTGCACTGAAAGCATTGTAGTGTCTTATAGGGAAGGTAGCCCTTCTTTCAGTATATACTGAAAATACTCAGTGAAATTATTCCTGTAATTTAGGCATGTGGTGAAATAGCAGAGGAAATGGACACTTTCACTGCGAGACTCTGCTCTTTCGCTCTGGTAAGCAGGATCATGCTTAGATCCTTTCTGTGATCTCAGAGAAGACCAATTTCCTCTGGGTTGGACTCATATAGAACTGCAACAACATAAACAGCCCTGAAATTTATTTCCCAGAAAGCCAGCAGACTTAAGGGCTACAAAAAAAATCCATAAGCTCAGCTGAAATAAAAGAGCCAATCAGAACTGAGGGGATTGTTTGGAATGGGAACTGGAACCCAGATGCAGTGTGATTTCTCTACATCATGTCATGTGCAAATTATACTCACTGCTGATTCCTCCCACCCATTATACAGAAGTTACAAGAACGTCAGTCATGCTCAGGATACATGATCCATTTTTAAGCCACATAACAAGTCTTTCACCAGTGGATATTGATTGGTCAAAATGAACTGGATAAGGGTAATGCTTCATTAGTATAAAACATCGAAGGGGACTTTTATTACGTTCCATTATTGTCTTCTTTGCATCGTTAGTTTAATTTATGTCAGCTTTAAAAATGAGTTGGTGTTTTATGTACCTTAAAAATAATATTGCATCACTGCTAGGAATATTTTACATGTAAAAATACAATAGGACAGAACTAAAAATTCCATAAACAAAAAGCATAAGTAAAGAATGCCTTTCTGTGGGAATGAAATGAGAGATAAAGCATTTGACAAGCAATAATGTGTTTAGTGCAGCCAAGTAGAGCACTGTTTACAAAAATAATTTTCAAAAACACTGAAAATATCGAGTGCTTTTTGGGGTGAACATTGTGTAAAGAAAATGTGATGATCTATTATAAGCCTTTCAAAGGCCAGTACTCAAAGGGGGGGGGGGGGCAAGGCAGCCGCCACTTGGGGGTCTGTCTGTGTGGAGGTGGGGGCACTTTAGGCTGGACTCTGCGGCAGGACGAGGTTGGCAGGTTCTGCCTTCTCTGAGCCTACCTAATTTTTGCATGCATGCTCGGAGCCTGTCCTCGAGATTTGACACTCTGTTTTGTAGCTCCTTGTAGTCATAGGCTCCCATTTCTTCCTGAAGTTGGTTTAGAACTGACGTCAGATTCTGGACTTCCTCCTTAAACTGCAATACCAATTTTGCATCGGCTTTGTACTCCTCCAACACTGGTATCAATGGCCTAAGTTCCTCCATTTTCGCTTTTATTGCCTGAAAGGTTAAAATAAGCTTGGTTCAGTGTCATGCGTGAAAATTCCTGCCCAACACCTGCCTGACCCTGGCCTGACTGCCTCCCTACAGTGAATGAAGAATGAGACAAATTTACAAGTCGTACGAAATACAATTGGGAAAGCACTTTATTTTCATATTTAAAATGCAACATCTTAGGGTTTACATGCTTTAATATCACACACAAAGTGGTCTGTATTGTTGTTTTAGTACCATAGACAAAACAGAAGAACAAAACTTAAATGTGTAAAAATGCTATTTAATGAATGCTTTCACAGTCACATGCAGGACGAGTGCATTGGTGATCGGGTGTCCTTAGTGATAAAAGGTGCTAAATTCAAATAAATGGCATGATGCAAAAAAGTCAGGGGCCCCGTTCAGGGTAACATTGGACAGAACTGCCTCTTCCGTCTCTGCAGCATTGATAACATTTCGTAAAGTTAGCCCTGCAAGCAAGAAGATGAGATACTGTTCAGGAATCTAGCTTACTAGCCTGTCTAGTACACAGGTAGATTCACAACAAATGAACATATGCACAATCCCCGGATGCAGGAAGCTCACACATGTGAGGAACCGCGAACCGCGATCAGGGGAATGCTGACAGCATGCAAAGTACCACAGGAGTCTGCTGAGATGTGCAACATCCCCATTAACAAGAAGAACAGTAAGACTTTTACTGATCCTTATAACTACTATCCACACTGAATGCATGGCCAATTAATATTTTTGAAATACTATATGATTTATTGGGGTATTTTATGATACATCTTAGTTAGCTGTAGCATGATGAGTGTTACTGCAATGGGTTGCACATTTCTGCACAAAAAAGGATGATCTTGCACTTAACATTAGACAGTCAATCCAACCGATTATGAAACAGCTTCATAAATAACCAGTAAAGAATTTGCTTGTTTTTTATGCCTTCTTTTTAAAGGGAACCTCTAGATTCCTAGTTCCAATTGTTACTTTATGTTGCCACACACTATAGAATTTATCGTAACATTTGTATCCCACCAGCCATGACGTATCATGCTTCAGTAATTAGCATTCTAAGTCTGAGCTTGAAAAATGATCCCTGCAAATTGTGCACATTCTCATGGCCTTGACCTGATAAATCACTAGTCTAAGGCCAGAGTCAGCAGTATGAAGCAACATTTTGAAAAAGTTTTAAAAATATTATCATTTGCCAAATTTTGCTCAGTTTTTCAAAATTTGGTAAGCAAGAATGTTATTCCTGGTGGGTCAGGATTGTTTGGCTATGTTTATTGCACTATCACCATTTGAGGTTTGGGATGGCGAGGCACACCTTGTATTGCTTGGCAATGTTCTGCCTGTGGCTCTCCTCCACCTGCTGGAATTTGGTCTCCAAGCCACGCAACTGGATCTCCATCTTCTCTACATACTGCAGATCCCTCTGTGTCCGCTTGTCCAGAACCTGGATGGATTGTGTCATGTTCTGCACCTGAAACAGACCAGATCAGAACATCATAAATACCACTGTCTACCACTGTCATAAGCACCAACTCCATGTATGCTCTCCAAGTATGTTTGGGATGTGTCTTGTTTTTAATGACATGCAATGACTATGAATAATGACAACACAATTCTGGCAAACGTCTGATAATTGGCTACAAAATGTCACACATCACATATAGAATACAGTGGTACCTCAGAACTCGAAAATAATCCGTTCAGAACTCCGGATCGAATCCTAAAAAGTTCGAGTTCTGATGGAATTTTCCCCATAAGAAATAATGGAAAACCAATTAATTGGTTCCAGGCCCCAAAAAATTACACCGAAATATGTTTTTTTAGTATTTAAACACAAAATGAACCGGAAAAAACAAGAAAAGCATATCCTGTACTAAACACAATTTACCAAAACAGTGATTTTTAAAGTAAGAAAATAAATGTATCCAAACAATGTGTAAAGTTAAAAAAATAAACAATGTATCATGGCCCGATTGTCCGCTCCTTCCGTGTGCCACGCCCCCTCGTTAACCCCGTGTGGAATCCCCGTGTGATCAGCTGTTTCTGGATGTTGTCATTAGTCCTCTGTATTTAGTCCGCGTTTCAGTCCGGTCATTGTATTGTCCGTCTGCGTTTTGCCTGCCTTACCTGTAATTAAACCCCATATTTCCCGATACCCTGACGTCTGCGCCTTTGTCTCCGTTCCGTCCCTGCTGGGCACGGCAATATTATTATAATTAAATGTATTAATGGTTTATTATTAATATTAAAATAATGAATAAGAAATCTTTATTTTTAAATGTATTTTATTATATGATAATAATTACTGTTACTATTATTATCTAAATGTATTTTTACTGTCTAAATATATGTATTCAGTTAGTGTAAACATGCACGGTGCTATCACAGCTAATGTGAGGCTGAGACTGAAGCGTTACCCTTTGTTTCCACTGAGAGACGTGCCGCGTGACTCATTTCCCCGCGTGTACAAGTTATCTTAGGTCGGCCTTCACGGTTTGACTTCTGAGATTCAGATCGAGTTCTAGGTAATTTTTTTCAAAATTTTTCAAAATTGGTTCGGTTGGTTCGACTTTTAAGAAATTCGAGTTCTAATGAGTTCGAGAACTGAGGTACCACTGTATAATATCATAGATAATATCAAATAACTAATAAAGAGAAATGGAACTTCATGATGGAGACATAGAGCACTTTAATGACTTTAAATAACAATGCTAACATCTTTAGATTAGGTGCCTCTTTTTTAGAAATGACGGAGCAGCTCAGAATAGTGGCATGTCATCCTCGGGGGAAGTGCTAGTGAGCATGTTAGCGAATGAGGTAGCAGCTCTGAGGGGGCAGGGTGGGGATGAATATGGCTGGGGGACTACAGGCTGCGGCACTAATGAGCTTTAGATCACGTCAGCGGGCTGGGAGGCGCAAGAGCAGCTGGGAGGTTCCGTTTGACGGGGCTCACTTTCTCCAGCAGCTGCCGCAGCTGTTTGGTCCTGGCGTCTCGCGAGCACATCGCCTGCTGTGGTGCCACCACGGTGCAGATACACCGGCCCTCGCTGTCCTGTGCTGAGCTGTACACCTGCCACGACTCCTCGGGGTTAGTCGGCAGTACCTGAGCACAGAGAGCGCGAAGGCACAGCGAGAAGAGTGGGTATAGACAGACAAATGAAAAGACACAAGCACAATCAAGTTATTGATTATTCCAGCAGTAAAAAGGCGGAAAAAAAGAGAAAAAAACACTGGCTACAGATTTCTTAAGCTATAGCTTCTGACTTGTGTTCTGAGACTATTCAATTTTTCGTTGAACATTTACATAGCAAATAAAATTAAGTGGTGCAAAAATGCTCATCCAAATCTGATTACAATCTTCCCCATTAGAATAATGGCACATGAGATCTTTTTGAAATTTTCAAATAAAATACAATGGAAATATGCAGACATACGACTTAAATATTCTAAATAAAATTTACTCAGATTAGCACCATTGAATGTTAGAATTAAGAGTCTGACGCAAAACTAATTACACTGCTACACCAGGCTGAATTTAAAAATCATGTCTCATTGATTTCAAACAGAAGACCAGTGATGCAACAATTTCAAGATCAATCACAGGAAAGAGGAATAGAGGCAAGTTATACAGTTTTTTTATACTTAATTAAAAGTATGCTCTGATATCTGTGGGCCTGTGTCCTGGGAATTCTAATTCAATATCTTCACACAGAAATCCCACCACCCAGGTGATACATTACTTATATTAATAAACCACCCACCTAACACAAATATGATTGCAAGAATGGGTTGTTTTTCTGTTTACATCGTAAATGATTTTTTAAATTCAGTTTAATTGATACATAATAAAAATAAACTTTAGAATGTGTTAGAATTCATTCTGTGAGACACTAAGTGTATTATTTTATGAGCACTACATTGCATTTATGCTGTACTAATAAAAAAGAATTACATTGGATTGTTCTTTTGATACCATAGATGATGCTTAGTATTTAAATGCTTATGTACAGCTGGGTGAGCACTACAGCAATGAGAATATAGATCTTCTCTAGCTGACAGATGTTTTGTCAACAAACAATAATTGAAAAAACACATATATTCAGCCACAGTAAAATCTCATTTTGAGGTAAATAATAATGACCAATAGCATTTATTTGTAAATTTGCAAAACAGCACTGTGTGAAGTCTGAACTGGGTGAATGTTTATGATAATTACGCCGATTATTTCAACATAATTATTACAGCCGCTCAGTATCTACTGGAAGAGTTACATATGCTTCTATGGTTCTTGTCAAAAGCACTAAGAAGGTGATCTCACACAGAGACACAGACACAGAGACACAGAATGTGATCCAGCAGTACTACTATAGCCCCAGTATTGGATCTTTTAGCCTTCCCTTCATTGGCTATTTGGGTATCTGGACTGCAGCTAGGGCTTCTGTTCTGGGTGCAAACCTACTGTAAACCCTGGGCAGTAATGCATAATTATTCCAAAACTTAATAACCATTTCAACTTGATAGTGACTGTCAGTGGAGGACAATTTTAAGAAACATTTTTATTACAGCAGAAGCTCAGAAAGTTCTTGATGAATGCAACAAATAATGACAAAAATACCAAAATAAAATCAATCATATAACAGTAGTACTACCATTACGAATCACAGCAGTAGTAATAGTAGTAGTAGTAATAATACTACTAATAATAATGACATATATACATGCATACCTGCCAATTAAGTTCTAATAAAAGATACCTAATCCGGTGTCAAACTTACTCCGATACTACGATCTGGGATCCCTCCTGGTGCCGCCATCAGCTTGGTGGTGTTTAGCCCCACCAAGGAGGGCAGCGTCTGGGACATCCAGTTTGTGATCATAGCCATGGTGCTAAGCACAACCCCAATCTTGAGCAAAGGCACGGACATGTCTGCGCTTGGCGTGTCGCGGACACCTTCATTCTACACTTGTCAGCGGAGAGCCTTCGGAGCGCCTCATCCTGCCGGCAAGAGCGTGCTGCGGCGCCTGCATCCCAACTTCCATCCTTCTCATCCTAGACATGTTGGCAAACGATCGAACGGAGATATATATATATATATATGTATATTCTGCTATTCGAATAGCAAATACAGCTTAACGCGGTTATTTAACAAAAAATTTATGAAGTCTGTGACTACTCCGCAGCATGTGCGCAGGAGTTGGATGTCTGAGATATTCGTTGAGCACTGACTCCGGTATGTGGCGTCCTCTGCTAATTCTTGTCCTGTAAGCCTTTTCTTTTTTCGTTAACCCCCTTTAATCCTCCTCTGCTTGTCACGCTAAATGAGAATGTGCCAGAGTCTAAATGCCGTCTGCTCGGAATGGAGGAGGTACCCTGGTCCCATGCAGCGCAGCCCATTGTGATGTCAGGTTGGTGGTGCGTATGAAACGCCCATCCCGCGCCCTTAACGATCAATTGTCGGATATCTTCAGTTGTGTTTTTTTGCTTCATCCCTCGATTTTAACTGTGAAAAAACACTTAAGAAGTCACAGTTCACTGGCTAGCAATCTTTTCCAGCCCACCAAAACCCCAGCAATAACGATAAAAGACTTATAATGCAAAATACAGGTTCATTGTTTAACATGAACTGCATTGTTAAAAAATAGCCCCTTTAACCTTATGAAGCTGAAAAGGAAATTCATTGTGGTCCTATATTATAACAATGTTAATACAAGGAGTTTTGTCCGAAGGCTGAGATTCTAGTTATTAGCAATCACGTAATCCACCCGAAACGCGCTGTCCAGCTTTTCCCCATTGTCTGCGTTTTTAAAACTCGATCGCCATCTTCCAGACAACCGCGGTATTACACCAAATATGCAAGTACTCGAGTCTCCAATCAGTCCACATCTGATGTATTGAAATCCCTAGAACTTTTCAGAGCACACGTTGAAGCTGTTTTAATAAATAAAGAATTTTCCATTAGCTCTCTTCACAAAAGGCCATACAGGTGAGGATCAAACAAGAAGGTGAGTGTCCATGAAGCTGCTGGGGTTAACGGCCTCACACAGGGTCCCAACGATGACATCACTCTGTCAGTACGTAACATTATTAACATGTTTGAAAGGATCTCTAGGACCAAGCGCATAGCAAATGTTTTATTCATAACGACTAAGGTAGTCTTTCACAACTTTACACTGCACTGAAGCAATTCAGTATAATTTAAGGTTCAGTATAGCCTTCAAACACAGTTTTAAGTCCAATTTATTTATGATTCTGTAACCAGCAATCATTGCACCCAGCCCCGTTCACTATTTTCTGTGATGTAGGTAGTTTTATAAGTAATACACAAAAGTCAATCAAGTTAGGGTTTAATGGATGTTTCTACGTGGGTGAGGGATCAGTGGACCAAAACAGCAACAGAATTAAAGAACAACATAGCAATGTTTCAGTCTGCTTCATCATCTCAGATATGGTGCCATCTGTAATAGGTGTGTACAACATAACAATGTGCTTTTGTAACAATGTTTTAATTAAGAGATACAACAGGCGGGAGAAGGTTCACTGTGGAACGGGGAACAGTGATGTCTGCAACTGTGTGATACACAAACAAAGCACATACAGCAATTGCAACATGGAACATTTTGACCCGAAAGCAGTAACTGAGACAGACAAGGCAGCAGCTTAGTTACTCTCCATCTCATGATTGCCATCAGACTTAAGAAGAATAACTTCCATTCACAACCATGAACCCATCTGCTTCTCAACTCTAGCATGTGCCGTCTTGTTTAACGTGAGACCTGTTGGTGGGATGTCATCAGTGCTTAGACAGAAATACGATTGCCTTTTAATGTATAATTCCTGAGAAACCAACAGACTGTGCAGCATAAAATAATAATATAACGCGTAACAAAAAATAATGAAATAATATATTAGATACTGTATATTCTGCAGATATAAAAAATACCATTTAATGTCAGCCCTTGACAAACTCCGCAAACTACTGTTATAAGGAATCCACAGCTTACATCAATGTTCCCCTCCAACTGATCTTAGAATACAGAATATGATTTACTTTTCAAGCAACATGACAAAGGAATTTAGCTGACATCTAATAGTCTTTTTTTTCTGATCTCTTTTAAGTGGACAAGGTATTAATATGTCTCCACACTCCAAAAAGACCCGGGCAATTATTCCTGCCTACATCAACAAAGCCTCTCCACTCAGACTTATTATAAATGAAGTGGATGATTGGCAGCATGTTATACATCCAGAAGATGCAGGACTGGGTTGTGCTCCTTGCATCCAGACTTCAGGAGCTTCTAAATTAAAAGACTAAAAACACTATTATCTTTATATATTTTACACCTACAAAACACTCCTTAAGACCATTATGCCTTTTAGGGTTTGTGTCCTGTAAAAAATATACCGATTAACACCAATTAATGAGATATCAATACGCAAAATGTCGAAAACATCTGGCCTGCTAATTTCAATAGAGAAATGTTTCATATATATATACAGTATGCGCAAAATGTAGGTTATATAATTCTTAAAGATACAATAGTTAATGGTTTCTCATTTGTCTCAGAAATACATTTGATGTGTAGCAATAGCTATATATAAAACATATAGGCCTTTTTTCAATTAAGGAACACAATATGTGTAGGTATGTATACAGTACGATCTCCAAGAATGTAGCATACAAGCACTCTACTCGCAGTCCAGTAGAAGGAGCTAGAGTGATCACACTGGGTTTCGTCCTTGCTTTTCTGTGACTGCTCATCTCACAAGGTGTGAGAGAGCCTATTCCAGGTAACACAGTCGAGAGCCTACCCCAGCTATCCCAATCAAGAGCCCACCCCAGGTAACACAGTCGAGAGCCTACCCCAGGTAACACAGTCAAGAGTCAACCTCAGGGAATACAGTCCAGAGCCTACCAGAGGTAACACAGTCCAGAGCCTGCCCCAGTTAACAGAGTCGAGAGCCTACCCCAGGTAACACAGTCAAGAGTCAACCTCAGGGAATACAGTCGAGAGCCTGCCCCAGGTAACACAGTCGAGAGCCTGCCCCAGGTAACACAGTCGAGAGCCTGCCCCAGTTAACACAGTCGAGAGCCTACCCCAGGTAACACAGTCAAGAGTCAACCTCAGGGAATACAGTCCAGAGCCTACCCCAGGTAACACAGTTGAGAGCCTGCCACAGACATCCCAGTCGAGAGCTTACCCCAGGTAACACAGTCTAGAGCTCACCCCAGGTAACACAGACGAGAGCCCACCCCAGGTAACACAGTCTAGAGCTCATCCCAGGTAACACAGTCGAGAGCCCACCCCAGGTAACACAGACGAGAGCCTACCCCAGGTAACACAGTTGAGAGCCTGCCACAGACATCCCAGTCGAGAGCCCACCCCAGGTAACACAGTCAAAAGCCCACCCCAGGTAACATAGTCATGGGCCCACCTCAGGTAACATAGTCGAAAGCCCACCCCAGGTAACACAGTCGAAAGCCCACCCCAGGTAACACAGTCGAAAGCCCACCCCAGGTAACATAGTCATGGGCCCACCCCAGGCAACACTATGCTGTAGGACAGCAGGAAGGAGCTTGCAAGGGGTCAGATAAACTAATTAATATATATAGCAAGTTTTTGGACAGCAAGAAGAAACAGGAGGGAAACCGATGCAAAGAACATGCAGATTCCACACTGGCTGTTGCTGCGTTTATGCTATATTGTGTTACGTAAAAACATAAATTACTTTTCTCTCAAGAAGTCCCCATTCAGACTCTAATAATGTTACTGCTGGTCTACGAGGTAAAGCTGTTGAAAACTCTTCTGTATTCATTTTATTCCTACTCTGATAGGTGAAGGACGCGTACAGAATTGGAATATATATAGTGTCTTAATGATGTTGTATCACAACACCCACATATAAAGCACCTTGGGACAACTCTGTTGTGAAAGGCGCTATATAAAAAATAAATTGAACTGAATATACAGCCATAGCATAAATGTAGTCTTGGCCTCCCTTGCTAACACCATCAATCTTTTGTATAGTGTAACATACGATCGATACAGTGCAGGCATTTACTGACGCTGCTGCTCCCATCTTGACTTTATTGCTACAATATCGGTGTGGAATCTGGCACCGATACAAGTATCTGTCAGTTTCTGTCAGATAAAATTATATAGCAGTGTTCAATCAGCACAGAGCTGCACATCATTTATTGCATATGAATCTATTATATGCATCCCATGTTTGAAGATTTCTTAATTACTAAGCTGGCTGGCAAATGGGGGGATGCCGGGCAAAAGCTGTCATGAAGCTCCGTGGCATGTACAGGAGAGCTCTGCTGACTCAGCGTCACATGGCATCTTACTGCCTGCCTCCTTATCCAGGTTCGGCAACCCATAAGGCGACAGTAAAGCAAGGCAACTACAAAATGGTCACTAATTACTCTAGATCTCAGAAGAATATGAACTACGATACTGCTTTTGTAGAATGAGAGCTGAATAAATATAGGTCCGTAGCTTTTTAGGAATATTTGACCACAAAGGCACCAATTTGTTTTTTCGGAAAACTGGAGGGAAATATTGTGAAATTGTGAAAAAAGAAACATTGCCAGGTTACGGAAATACAAGACAAATAATTTTTTTAAATCCCTCAAGCCACAATTACATTTTTTACCCCTCAGTCAAGCACCAAACAGAACTGTTGCCTTGACTATTGATCATGAGTCAAAAGAGTGAAAGACTTAGAGAGATATTTAAAAATCTGCCTTTCTGGGGGAATATCTGTGAAGCCAAGAGACTATGCGCTTTTTTGGAGAAAGCGCGCCTTTGGCTCACAGCTTTATTAATAAGATGAATAGTTAATTCTGCACAATTTCTTAATCAGAGCTGCTCATTTAGCTGCAGCTGTATAGCTCTCAGTAAGCACTGTTCTGGGATCGTTCTACATTCAGCCTCCAAAGTAAACTCCAGAACACAGCCCTGTGTCATCTTGAAATAAAATGAAACCTGATACATATTCCCTGAAATAAATAAATAAAAACTGAAAGCAAAAAGGAATAAAAATGTATGACTTCAAACAAGTCCCTGGAAACCTTTCAGCAATATTCATTATACCCTGATGGCTCCACCGGCCTTTTAATTGTAATTCTCCTTTGCAATGCAGGACGTTGAAAACCTGTACTGTTAGCACAGAATTTATGCATAATAAAAGGTTTGCCTGGAGGACTTTTCATGCTTCTTAAAAAAGGGATCAAGCAGCTGGACTGTGCTCCATGTGCATCTTGACCATTAGCTCCACACCTATCCACGTGTGTCCAGCCACATCAGTATGTAAGCCAGTCCACGGCTTCCTTTCATGTCTCCCAATATCGACGCCTCAATAAGAAGAGCTTTTTGGAACATCTCCTTCTCTATACTCAATTAGGAAACACTTATGTTGCTGCATTAATAAAGACATATAATGATTCAGCAATTTGTGGCAATGCTTAGTTTGAGCCAGAGACTAAACATTAGATTTTCCTCGTACTTTTATTAAAGCAAAGGTCTGCAATGTCCTCCTAACCTGTCACTGGCACAGACATTCTAGGATGAAACAATTAAAGAATTTCAATTTGAATGAAAAAGCCAGCAATCACATCTTATAATATTGTACTTATTTTCATCAATATACTAATAATAATCTAATGTTCTGATATTTTCATATTTCAAAAACAGTAAAAGTAATCAAATAACAATAAAATACAAAATAAAACAACTGTAGTTACATCTAAAACCATCAGCTTACACAGTCCATTCATTTATAAAAATAAACCACTGGATAAAATCAGGAACTTTTGTGTCTTTAGTTTAATCAGGTACCTAATAAATGGTTGATGTTTGTGGGAAACAAATAAGTAATAAATAGGCAGACAAACTTCATCTTGTTAATTAAATTTGATTTTATGTTAAATGTGCATGGATCCTCTTGATGAAACATATCAAACTGCAGAGGACCTTGGATTGATTCAGACACACTGCATGCGACACACACACGCACACACACGCACACACATACACACACAGACACACACACGGCGTTGAAAGTCTATGACATACTCCGCAGCTGAGTTGAAAACATACGAGTCACTTTATAAAAAAAGCAGATACTGACTTTTTAACATGGCAACTGTTCAAGAACCTGTGTGAGAGGCGAG